TAACAAGGCAGTAGTAGCCAATTTAAACCAGAATCAAGACAGAGAGCAAGCTTCGGGGTATTCGTGTATTTCTTTACGCTACACTAGACACCTCACACAGAGCTATGGCTAAGCCAGGCAGTGGGCAGGGTGGTCTAGGAACGTTCATCAGCGTGAATTTTGTCCTAGGCTTTCTGGACTGGTGATACAGAGGAAGGCATGGTGTCCCTCTATTTCTGTAATGCATCTAACAAAGCCTCCCATAATCTCTTTGCTAGGGAGAGGGGGAAACGTGGGTTGGAGATGGCAGTTACTGAACATGCAGAGCTGAAGGGTGTCGCTCTGTCGCTCTGTAACTTGGGGAGCGATCTCTAGTCACATATGACAGAGTTCTCTCTCACGCCCTAATGTTCCATATTTTGTTTGTGACTCAGATGCAGACTATGCCCTTCAAAGTTTGCAGACGGTAGTTAGGACAGAAGTAGTTTTTAAATAATTATTCAAAAAATATCTTGCTATCCTAGGAATGCTGAAACAAAATCAAGATGAAAAATTTTCTAAATGAATCTAAAGATCCTTATTTAAGTATTTTTATACTTCAACTAAACAACATAATAATAAAAAGAGAAGTGCATTGACAAGAGTGTAAGCAAATAAACAAGCAAACAAAAAAGGGGAACGTTAACTGACCAGAGCACAATGAACTAAAAATACTTGCCTTTAAAAAAAGTGCCATCATATGCCACTTCGGTAGAAGTACATTATTCAAAAGAGGACAGTGACAGTTGCATTATTTTCAAGCATAGGGGTTATAGTATCACTTCTGGGCTTCCCACTTTAAGCAAAACCCTGGCAAGACAACGGAAGAAGGATGAGGCATTTATTATAAGAGATATAGTTGACTAGTCTTCAGCTATTAGGTCTGGAGAAAGCCTAAAGGAGCCCAGAACCTTTAACTCCTGGGCAATAGCAGAAAAAAGCAGAGGCGAAGACTGGGTAGAAATAAACCAACCTTCTTCCTGCAGGACTCGGAGGTTCCACAAGGAGGGAAAAAAGTAAGAACCTCAACTTTCAGGTATCAAATCTGATTTCCAAGTGAATAGGATGCCATTAGAGTGAAGATTACTATAAAAAAATTGGGAAACACTATAAAAATCTAGCCAATATAGCATTGCTCTTGTTGCTGTTATTCTGAAATTCCATTGACGCTCAAGTGCCCTAATTCCAAGGATGGAACATCGTTTAGGTGACGGCAACTTAAAGCATATTTAAAGTGGTCCTAGTAAGGGAAACCTCTATATTGATACTGTCATTTTAAATTATAATTTACTTCTCTTAAAGCTTTAGCAGAGATAGTAAAAATGAGAACACAAGCATCTTTGATCAAATAAGTCCAAAATGATAAGCTCAAGCTTTCCCCACCTTTAAGAATAGTTCTTTAGTGGAACCTGCATTAATCTAGGAAAGAAACTTTATAAATATGTCTCGATATCTCAAATCCCCACTCAGATGTGATTCTCTCACCTCCGAACTATAACCACAGTCCTTTACACCACTGGATGACACCTGGTACAGTCAAACTATCTAACATTACAAGCTGTACAAATGTCAATGGTCAACCAACATATATTTTCCATTGACTATGCCCCTGCCCTGAAGAATTACATTCTAGAGTGGAGATAACCGATAAGCATATAAACATAACAGTGACTCCCAATGAAAAGATTAAATATGGGAGTACACTGTAATATGTATGGTAGATGCTGTTGTTTTAGTTTGGTTGGTTCAGGCCACTCTAAACTCAAACGTACTTGCTTAGAGTGGTCTTTCTTGACCATGCTATTAGCAGACCAGTCTACTAGAGACCTAGTAGCCATGCAAAGACTTTGGGAGAGAGCAGTCCAAGTAGAAGGAAAAGCAAGTGCAAAAACTCTTGAGACCAAAAGGAGCTTCATGGTTCGTGCGACAAACAATAACAACAAAAAGGCCAATATGGCTTAGCATGGTGAACAAAGCGTAAAATGAAGGGAACAGGGACTTCCCTGGTGGTGCAGTGGTTAAGAATCCACCTGCCAATGCAGGGGACACGGGTTCGAGCCCTGGTCCGGGAAGATCCCACATGTCGCGGAGCAACTAAGCCCATTTGCCACAACTACTGAGCCTGTGCTCTAGAGCCCGTGAACCACAACTACTGAAGCCTGTGCACCTAGAGCCCGTGCTCCACAACAAGAGAAGCCACCGCAATGAGAAGCCCACACACCGCAACTAGAGAAAGCCTGCGCGCAGCAACTAGAGAAAGGCTGCGCGCAGCAACGAAGACCCAACACAGCCAAAAATAAATAAATAAGTAAATAAATAAAAAATAATAAAGGGAATAAAAGATTAAAAGTCAAGAGGCTAGATCACATAGGCCACTGTAAACCACAGTAAGGAATAGATTTTATTCAAAGAGAAGCAGTGGAAGGTTTCAAGCCATGAACTAATGTAAGGCCTTGGGAGCTCACCCTGGCTTCTCTGTGAATGACAAGACTGTGTGAGGCAAAAAGCGTCAGTTAGACCAATTGATAGGCTGCTGCATAGTCAAGGCAAAAGACGATGGCATGGATGAGTGATGAGAAATGGAGACGGCGAGAAGTCACCAGACTGAAAGTGGTACCCACAAAATTTTACTGATGGACTATTTATGAGGTGAAGCAACTAGGTGGACATTTGTGCTATACACGCTGAGATGGGCATGTATTTTGTAAGTATTTTCTGTGCTGGGAGTAGACAGACTTGGGAGCTGAAACCAGGAGTAATGCTTTGAACTTGTAAAATGTGAATGTCTAATGGATTTGTAAGTGGAAAAGCTGAACAGGCGGTTAGCTCCACGAGGCCAGAGCTCAGGGGCAAAGCCTGGGCTGGAGATAGAAATGTGAGCATCGTCAATGCATAAAGAGTTAAAAGCCACAGAGCTGGATGAGATTACCTGGGAGGGAGCTCTGGAACACCTGAATATCAGAGGCTTGATGGAATAAAGGGTCCCAGAAAAGGCAACTGAGAAAGACTGAGCAGCCAACAGAAGGGAAGCCAGGCAAACTCAGCGCTAAGCGCTAAAGCCCAGAGACACAAAAGTTTCCTGCACGATTGTCAAGTCAGATGAGGACTGAGACGTGCAGGCAAGATGGAGCTCTGGTGACCTTGAGAAATGGTCCTTCAAGGGAGTGAGGATTTCACCAACCAAATGGAACAGTTTAGCTCCACCATTGAGCATCTTTGTTAAGGCCACTTTTGTATTGACATTCTCATTTATTTATGAACTATGCAGCATTTGGGGCCACTTTTTGAAACACCTTTGCTCATATATGCTCAAAAAAAGTAAACTGAATGAACAAATATTCTTAAGATATCTTCAAAATATTTCAAGATTACCTCTCTTAAACTGGACATTACAAATTGTGATTATCCACCAATCACTAGATTTCTTTCTAAACCACTGCTGTTCCTCTCATATCCAAAGGAACCAATCACTCACTGGCAAAACAGTAAAAGTAACTTCTTATGGTAGCAGGTGATTTGACTTGCTACATCAAAAGCTTAAAGTAGCTGATAATTATAACAATGGTAGTCTGAGTCAATGACTTCTAATACCGTTCCAATTTCCTTTAACTTACGTAACTCTGTCTTCACCAAACAGCAATTGAAAAACAGTGGATATCAAACTTTAATGTGAATAAGAATCACCTTGGGTGCTTATAAATGCAGATTATTAGATGCCCCAAGGTGAGGTATGAGTTACATTTTTTTAAGGTCGGGCTGTATTTTTTTTAAAGTTACCTTTTTAAAAAGCTACCATGGAAATTCTGGCACAAACAGTAAATGAATCATACTTTGTGAAACAACGATGTAGCAGTTTAGAACAGAATAACGTATGCTATAACGAACCCGTGGCAAAATCTGTTTTGCCTACCCCCACCCCCACCAAATATTAGACTTGCTATTTCTTTTAAGCTCTCGCCATCTCAGATTCATTTTGATAACTGTCAAGCACCCGTTAGTGCCCCGTTAAATTTAAACATTTCCAAAAATCTCGATGTTTAATTTTTTTCATACAATATGTGTGCATCTATGCTGATATATATGCTCATATAATCCTAGAATGAAAAAATTATGTATCTGCATAGCAACCTTACAAAACTAATACCATCCCCTTGAATATGCACTCGTAAACTTAGAAAAGTCTTTTAAGTAGTTAAGGTCTCAGGCAAGGAGACTCACCTACATTTCTGCAACTTGAATATTTAAGTGAGTGTGGAGAAGCTGATGTCAAAAGACCTATTTCAACAACTGAACATGCACTGTATGTGTTTTTGAATGAGTATAAATAAATCCTCATTTATCATTTTCTGCTGAACTCACATCTATATGAGGCTAAAAACTGCATTTCCAACAGGCTTCCCATGCACCATCACACAAGAGCAGCTTCCTGATTATTTGGAAAACCCTTTAACATCTTCTCTAAAACTTCTTCTAAGGCCGGGTAGAGAGTTTTAATAAAAAGGGGAAATAAGACAAGTTATCACTTTTAATATTTCAGTGAAAGAACAGGTAAACCAGAGTAGAGGAAAAAAGAGGTTGAGCAGCAAGGACAGGGATGATGTAAAATTGTGTGAAATAAGAAACGAAATCAAGAATTAAAAATAGAATTACATTTTCTGTTTGGCAATACACAAACAACACTAAGTGCACTTCATAAATTTCACTATTGTTGCTCTAAGTGATATGACCATAAATCACATTAGTAGCGTACTTGGCATTTTTTAAAAGCAGAAAGGATTGAGAGCGTCAGTGCGTTTAAACAGCTCTGTTATCTCCAACGAGAGTGGAAGAAAAATTATCAGAGCTTTTACCAGGTCTGAAAGCCCAGCTCTGACGCCCCCAGTGCTGGTACCCTCTCCTTCCAGCTTCAGCACAGCGCAGAGCATCACTGCGCCAGCAGCCTGTTAGGAGCATGGGCACTGTTGCTTTCGTGACGCTTTTACCTGATGTGTGAGGGGAGATGGCTGTTTGCCCCTTTTCTCGTCGCGGACGGGGAAGAGCGACTTTAGCAGCTTCGGCATCTGCGGCACGAAAGATCTTACTGGACTCAAGTAGGAGGCTGCTAGGTTACTGAGTCCTGCCAAAAATATTGAAAGGAAAAGAGATAAGGCAAAAACAATTGGCCACATATCCTTTGTAAGCAAATCTAACAATATAAATCAAAAAACGTATCCTTAAAAAAATTTATATTAAAAGACATGCTCTTATTATAGTTACCCTGAAACACAATGGTGTTTCCTTTTCCAATTAAATAGCAGCAATCGGGGTACTTCTAAAATGCTCTAATATCCGAAGGGTAATCCAACCCCGGGCCTTGTCACTAACTGGTCAAGTACTATTGGGTTGGCCAAAAAGTGCTTTCGGTTTTTAAGTAAAAATAAAAGACACATTTTCAGCAAGAACTTTATCAAACAATGTATTCACCCTTTTGTTCCCCTACCTTCTGCCATTTTTCAAGCAACTTCATAATTCCGTCTTCCCAAAACTTTTTTTTTGTATTTATTTTTGGCTGCGTTGGGTCTTTGTTGCTACACGTGGGCTTTATTTGCAGAGAGCAGAGGCTACTCTTCATTGCGGTGCACAGGTTTCTCATTGCGGTGGCTTCTCTTGTTGCAGAGCACGGGATCTAGGCGCACAGGCTTCAGCAGTTGTGGCTCGCAGGCTCTAGAGCGCAGGCTCAGTAGTTGTAGCGCACGGGCTTAGTTGCTCCGTGGCATGTGGGATCTTCCTGGACCAGGGCTCGAACCCGTGTCTCCTGCATTGGCAGGCAGATTCTTAACCACTGCACCACCAGGGAAGCCCCCAAAACTTTTTATCTTTTTAAGCAAAGAACTGTTCAAGATGCCTTTTACATTCTTCCAGGGAACTGAAATTTTTTCCATTAAGCGAATTTTGTAAAGACCAAAATAAATGGAAATCCAAAGGTGCAATGTCTGGTAAATACAGCAGACGAATCAGAACTTCCCAGCCAAGCTGTAACAGTTTTTGCCCGGTCATCAAAGAAACTTGCAGTCTTGCATTATCCTGAAGGAAGATTATGCGTTTTCTGTTGATTAATTCTGATGCTTTTCATCGAGTGCTGCTTTCAGTTGGTCTAACTGGGAGCAGTATTTGTTAGAATTAATCGTTTGGTTTTCTGGAAGGAGCTCATAATAGAGGACTCCCTTCCAATCCCACCATATACACAACATCACCTTCTCTGGATGAAAACCAGCCTTTGGCGTGTTTGGCGGTGGTTTATTTCACTTGCCCCACAATCTCTTCCGTGCCACATTATTGTAAAGTATCCACTTTTCTTCGCCTGTCACAATTTGTTTTAAAAACAGAACGTTTTCAGTACTTTTAAGTAGAGAATCGCATGCGGAAATACAGTCAAGAAGGGTTTTTTCCCCCCTGCTTAACTTACGTAGAACCCAAACATCAAAGCGATTAACATAACCAAGCTGATGCGAATGACTTTCAACCTTGATTTGGATATTTTGAGTATGTCGGCTATCTCCCAGGTGGTATAACGTTGATTGTTCTCAATTAATGTCTCAATTTGATCGCTATCCACCGTGGAGCATCATCCAGCGAGAAACCTCCAGCAAGAAACTTCACAAACCACTTTTGACGTGTTCAATCAGTCACAGCACCTTCTCCATACACTGCACAAATCCGTTTTTGCGTTTCAGTTGCGTTTTTACCTTTCTTGAAATAATAAAGCATAATATGCCGAAAATGTTGCTTTTTTTCTTCCATCTTCAATATTAAAATGGCTACACAAAAATTCACCAATTTTGATAAGTCTTTTTTTAAATGCACGCTGATATGACAGCTGTCACAATACAATCTAACAAAACTGTTTCGAATGAAGTTGAAGACAACTAACTGCTACTAGAACCACGTTACAGAAAAAAAACCAAATGAACCTTTTGGCCAACCCAGTAACTTCTGCCCTAGAATAAAATGGGGCTTTTCATTTTTAAATCACATAGCCAATGACACACTTGTACAGCTCTCCATCCAGACTTTAACCTCTTTAAAGTCAGGGACCATATCTTATTCAACTTTAATTTTTCATGCTGTTTACTGAATGAAGATGATGAAACTGACCTTTCAGGAAGACAGTGGTGTTTGAGTTGTTTTCACAAGAGAGGGACAAGTGCCCTGAACCAACCCTGTTCTTACCTGCTCTTAATTACCAAAGGCTGGGGTCAGATGTGCAGATAACGCCTATGATATTAGGAGACTTATTAATGCTTTATTCTTTATAATTCTTTATTCTTAGTGAATAAGACTAAATTTTCAAGAAAAACTAATTCAAGTCATATGTGACTTGAAAACTGTACCCTAATTAACACTTTAAAAAGAAGAAGCCAGTCAACTTGAGGCATCTGTATATGAGGCTGCCTGAAGAGAAGCACATGACCATCCCCACCTCTACTCCACGCTGGACCAAGACGATGCAAGTTCACTGGCAATACAGATGGTGCACGGACCTGTACAGTTAAGGTTTTACCTTTTCATAAAGGACTATTAATTCTAAGTAAACTAGGAAAAGTTACAGAAGGATATTCTGTAATCATGAGCTCAATCATTAAAAAAAATACAGCAGAGAGAAAGCTATTTGCCAAGAGATAGGTCAAAAGCAAAAATAGGGATGAGAGAAACAAAAAAGAGGAGACAAGGGAATTCCCTGGCGGTCCAGTGGTTAGGACTCCATGCTTTCACTGCTAAAGGCCCCGGGGTTCAATCCCTGGTCAGGGAACTAGGATCCTGCAAGCCTCGTGGCATGGCCACCAAAAAAAAAAAAAGAAGAGACAAACAAACAAAAAGTTTAAGATGAATAAAGAGGTAGAAGATATAATCATCTAAATGCTAAGAAAAAAATTAGGAATAATCTAAAGTTTTACATGCAGTTAAACTAACATTCTAGAGTGAGGATGACCTCTAATTAAATAAATATCTAGCCAATAATCAACTAAAGGCTGCATCTATCACAGAAAAAGAGATAATCAGACATGATGTGTCTCCTAAGGGAAGTACATAAAACTACCCATTCATTTACCCTACCTTCCGTCCCTCCCTCAAATTAGCCTGAATCTGACCAAGGCTGTGGATCTAACCACCAATTTACAGGAAATACACGGGACAGAGAGTCATGTTTAAATAACCTGGTGAGGATGTCACCAGTAAAAGTAAAAATGTACAGAGTCTATGTACAAAACCTGGTCTCTTCAACAAATACAAGGCAACAGGGAAAAAAGATGAAGAGGAGCAGATAGACTAAACAGACTTAAGACACGTATCAACTAATCACAATGTGTGAACCTTACTTGGATTTTCATTCAAAATGACTAAGAGATATTCTTGATCCAACTGGGGAAATCTGAACACTGACTAGATGTTTAATGATATTTTGGAATTATTTTTCATTTTTCTTAGGGATGAAATGTTACTGTGGGTATTACTTTAGAAATACATGTACAAGTGTTTACAGATGAGATAATATCTGAGATTTGCTTTAAAGTCATTCTGAGAGGGTGTGGGGACGTAGTGGGAGCACAGATAAGTAAGCCTGGTGATGCACTGATCGTTCTGAAATCAGCATGGGGCACTCGAGGGCACATAATGATTCTCTTTCTACTTTGTATGTCTGATATTTTCCATAGTAAAAGGATTCTTCAAAGTGAGAGCAAAATAAAAACTTTAACATACAGAAGAAACAGTTTGTCACTAAAAAAAAGATGATTGCTAAAAGCGCTAATGATGGATACATAGTCACTAAAAAAGAAACTAAACTCAGAAGCATGGAATGAGCAGGAAGCAATGATGAGCAGAGCAAAGTGGTAAATATGCAAATCAAGTAAACACTGATTAGAATATTTTTCTTTAATTTACAGAATTTTTAAACAAGGTAGTAGTCTATGACCAAGTAATTTCACCCTAGGTATTTACTCAACAGAAATGTTACAAAAAGACCTATACAAGAACAAGCTTTAGTCACAGTAGCCAAAAACTGGAAAAAAACCAAATGTCCATAAACAGGAGAACTGGTTAAAAACTGATAAATTCCACTGTGATAGTGAAATATCTCTCAGCAATAAAAAAGAATAAATTACTGATACATGCAACAGTATGGATGACTTGAACAGATATGCTGAGCAAAAGAAGCCCAACACAAAAAGAGCACATACTATATGATTCCATTTAAATGAAACTGTAGAACGGGCAAAACTAATCTGAAATCAGAACACTGATGCACTGTGGGGAGTAACTGGAGTCACATAAATCTTCTAGAGCTCGACTGGGGTGTAAGTTACATGAGTAAATAAACTTGTCAAAACTCATTAAATATGACCCATAGACTAGAAAAAAGCAGTCAGAAAAAGACTAGGAGATTGGTCATGATGCTGGAGTTAGCAGGTAAGAAGTTTAAAAGCAGTTTTTATACACAGGTCCAAGGATGTAAAAAAAGATATGGTCTTAACAAATATATAGGTATGAAAGAAATATCAGCAGAGAAATTAAAACTATTTTTAAAAAGCAGCAAATGGATATTCTAGAGCTAAAAAGAATAACTGTAATTTAAAAATTCTTGGATGTGCTTAATAGAAAACTAGAAATGGCAGTAGAAATTATCCAATCAGAAGAAACAAGAATAAGATAAAAAGATGAAAAATTAAAATCAAAATAGAATAGAGCTTCTGTGACCCATAGGGCAATATTAAGCAATATAACATGTGTGCAATTAGATACTCAGAAGGACAGAAAAGGGCAGGGGAAAAATGTAATTAACTAATAGTTGAACATTTCCCAAAACTGTTCGAAAAATCTCAATGTATAGACCCAAGAACATCGGTGAAACCCGAGCAAGATAAACACCAAGAAAACTATACCTAAGCACATCACTGCCCAACTTGCTAAGAAGAAAAATAAAGAGAAAAATTGGAAAGCAAACAACGTAAACAAAGATATACCACATGTCGTGGGAAAGTGACACAAATGATGGCTGAATTCTCATCAGAAAAGAAGTGTAAAAGATAATGCAGTGTCTTTGAAGAGCTAAAAGAAAACAAGCTATCAACTCAGAATTCTCTATCTAGTGAAAATATCCTTTGAAGAAAAAAGTGAAATAAAGATATTCTCAAAAGGGGAGACCCATCTTCTCAAGGAAAACTGCACAATAAGAAATAATACAGGATATTCTTCAGGCTAAAGAGAAATAATATCAGATGAATATATGATCTTCAGGAAGGAGTAGTGACAGAAATAATAAATATGAAGGAAAATATAAAAGATTATCTATAGTTTCTTAATTTCCTTAAAAGACAAAGAGCTGTTTTAAAGAAAAAAAGAAAAAAAAAAAAACCAACCACTGTAAAATGGGTTCACAACTATAAAAGCAAAAGATACAACAATAATACAAAATAAGAGGGGTGGGGGAACAGGTAAATGGAATTACACTGTTGCAAGATTCTCATATCTGTGCAGTGGGAAGTGGTAATTATTAATTCTAAGTAGACTGTGGTAAAATTAAAGATATCTACTAGACTCCTTTAACAAAGATGTTAATAAGTAAATACAGGTATACCAGAAAGCCAAAGAAAAACTAAAATACTGCAAAATATTTTTCAATTAACCCAAAAGAAAACAATAAAGATTACAGAGGAAAAAATAAATAAATAGGCCAAATAGAAACCAACAGCAACATGGCAGAGATAACAATAATATTAGATGTAAAAGAACTAAACATGCCAATTAAAAGGCAGAAATTGTCAGACTAGATAAACAAAAAACACTAAACCTAAATATGCTGTCTATAAGATAATCACTCTTAAAGATAAATTAGGCTAAAATTTTAAAGACTGAGGCAAAGATACACCATGCAAGCAATATGCAAAAGAAAGTTGATGTGGCTATACTAATATCAAGCAAGACAGACTTCAAAGTAAGAGTATTACCAGAGAGCTAAAGGGACATTTCATAATAAGAAACATCACTATGTCAGCAAAAAATAACAATCCCAATGTGTTATACCCAGTAACAGAGTTTCTAAATGAATCATGCAAAAACTGTTATAATTAAAGGAAAAAATAGACAATTTCACAATCATTGTAGAGATTCAACACCCTCTCTCAATGACCGACAGAACAAATATGAGGGAAAAAAAAATCAGTAAAGATACAGCAGGTTTGAACAAGGTTATCAACCAACTTGACCTAATTGATATATACAGAACACTGTGCCCAAAACAGAATAGACCTTTTCAAATACACATAGAATGTTCACTAAGATAGAATATAGTCTCAAAACATTTAAAAAGATTGAAATTTTGAAGAGTCTGTTCTCTGCTCATAATGAAATTAAATAAGAAATCAATAATAATAATACACCCCCAAGATATAGGAAAATGAATTAATATGCTACCCAATAACCCAGGGGTCGAAGAATAAATCAGAGAAATTAGAATATCTGGAACAGAATGATAAAACAAACACATCGTGCCAAAATTTGTGAAATGCAGAAAGAAATAACAATCAATGAAACAAAATAAAACCAAATTTGGCTCTGTGGGAAGACTAAAGAAAACTGACAAACCAGTTTCAAAAGTATTTAAGAAAAACAGAAAGAAAACAAAAATTATCTATTTAGAATGAAAAGAATGAACATAAAAACAGATCCTATAAACATTAAAAGATCAATAAAGGAACACTGTAACATTTATGTAAATAAATTTAATAATTTTGGTGAAATAGAAATTTCCCTAAAAAACATAATTTATGAAAACTTATAAAGAAATATAAAAAGTTAACCTTATAATAAAGAAATTGAAGTCATAATCTAAAATCTTCCCACAGAGAAAATTCCAGGCCCAGAGAGTGTCACCGGTGAATCCTGTCAAACATTTAAGGAAGTAGTAATACCAAGTTCACATAAACTCAGGAAAAAAAGATGAGGAAATTTTTCTCAAGTCACTTTATGAAACCAATGTAATCATGATACCAAAACCTAACAGAGACAATGTTATGAAAAAGGTACATATATTCATCATAGAACATATGCGCAAAAACTCTATAAACAAAATATTAGCAAACAGAATCAAACAAATATAAAGGACAACACATCATGATCAAGTGGTATTTCTCACAGGAATGCAAGATAAATTCAACATTCAAAACAATGTGACTCAACACGTTATGATAAGGAAGGGGAAAATTCAGACAGGCATTAACTAGTAGGACAGTGGTTACCTGGTAGGAAATCCTGATTTAAACTACTTCTGAAAGATGCTCAAATTTCATGACAGTGTTTGAAAAAGGAAAATATAACTTACCTGGGTCAGGAGAATGGTTATTTTGGGGACAACCAGGGGGAGATGGGGCAGCCGGAGTGGTTGCTCTAGAAACGGCAGTTTGCGATACATCCTGTTGACTTTCCCACCGGCCCTATTAAGGACAAAATCAGGAATTTTGATTCATATCAATTAACAAAAAAATCTAAAGATACTGAAGAGAAATCTGTTACACATTACTAAAGCTTTATTCTTGTTATAAGACATGATAAACCTTATTACCTAAGTACTCTTCCTCTTCTTTATAGAATTGCTCTCCCTAATAATACCACCTCACATCTGGGTATCCCCTATGATTACTGATGTTGAGCATCTTTTCATGCGCTTATTGGCCACTCATATATTTGTATATTGGAGAAATGTTTGTTCATGTTTTCTGCCCATTTTGTCCAAATAGCTAAACATTTGCCTAAGGCAGGACTGAAGCCAAATGCAGAATGAACTTCTAGGATAAAGATACAGTCTGAAGTTTTGTTTTTTTAAAAAAAGCATTTCTATTTTATTAAAAATTTTAGGTGTCAAAATTCAAGAGGTTGACAGTATAGTACAGGAATAGCAATTTCTCATGCTGTCGGTGGTTTTCCTGTACCTGCAGTCGCTCCACTGCACACTTGTGAACACTGGTGTTCACTCCCCGATGGGCTAGAGACGGGGCAAGGTGGTCATGTCTGCCAGTGCAAAGACCTGTGCCAGCGACAGTGCACCTTCCTCCCTCATAGCAGCTGTTGAAGGTAGAGACTTACCTTCTTTGCGTCCCCTAGACTTGAGGACTTGGTCAATCTGTGAGATGATGCAGTGTCATTGACAAAATCACATGAACGAAATAAACCTTGGTTTACTGCTTACTACAATTTACAGCCTCCTAATAATCTTTCTCCTATATCATGCTGCTTCTCACCACACAGGGATTTAGTAATACATTCCTCTTGAAATCCTCCCTTCCGCTCTGCTCCTTAGGCCCTCTCTGCTCTTGTGCCTCAAGATACCCTCTTTCACTTCAGATTCTCGACTGAAGCCTAGGAACAACTCTAATACAGTCAGGCATCTTCTCCTCCGCCACATACCATTCATGAAAGTAAAAACTCTAGAACAGCATATTACCAAGCCTCTCATTTTTTTTTAACAGATATTAAAGATGAGTTGCAGTTAAGCCTAAACCAAGTAGTCACAAGTTGCCAATAATGGTAGTCTCTGAATTAACAAGTCTGACTGTACTTTCAACTTGTCTTGTAAATTCCCATTAAAGAGATTTCACTGCATAATACAAAAACAATGCCAACCAGCTGATGGATTAGTTTACCTGTCTAGAGCTTGAGCCATAAAAATGGTGACAGCACCAAAACACTTTGAACATCAGTCCCATCCAGTAAAGAAATAAACCCCAACCCATACTACCAGTATAAAAACCAGTAATGAAGATGAGACATAACTCTTTTAAATGCTGTACGTTCTCTTTTGGTCTTCTGATAATCACTCTGACTTCTTTTTCACCAGAGTTTAAAAAATGGTATTTTATATTAGTTTAAGCCAGTACTCCACAGATGAGTGACCCTGACGATCAACTTGAGTCTTCATTAGTAATCGCCTGCAAAGTAAGTTCTTTGCTGCTCCTGAAGGTGGAGGGGGGAAGAAAGCCCTCTTAGGTTGCCAACATGTACTGGAAACCTATCTGCTTTTAGCAGCAACCTAAGTACTGATCATAAAATCGATAAGCCCTAAGTGATCTGGATCCTGTTTATCTTACAGAAGGCCATTTTCCCCAGGAACTCTCTCAGCACTTGATATTTTAACAAATGGTATGATGCTCAACAGTAGGAAGCTAGGAAGCGAGAGAGACATGAAGAGATGATGAGGGAAATGAACTATGAACATGTCACTGTAGGAGCATTTGTGTTACTATGAATCACACACTGATTTACATTAATGTTTCATTAACTTTTTTGCCTTTAAATTTAATTATCTGTCTGGGAAGCTGCAGCTTTGTGTACTCTGGGACGTCACCATCAGGTGACGGGACAATGAAGTCAACACTCTACTGAGCTCAGAGGAAGAAAAGTCTCACACTTTCTTTACAGGGTTTAAGCTCATGCAAGGTTGTTCTGAAGACAACATGCTTAATTTCAGAATAAATCTGAATTCATACTTTACATTTTTCTTCCTTGTTTGGCAGCTGACATAGTGGGACTCTGTCCCTTAGGAAAACTAAGCAGCAGATTTGGAGTCAGCACCTCAGCCATTTGGTGTGGCCCAGTGACAAATAATGTAGGTGTCACCTCTTCCCCAAGGCACACTCAGGGCTCTGCTAGCTTCCCGGGTAATTTTTACCAGCTGGAACTCCCACACCCAATGTTACTCCCAAATCTGAATGGAGGCAGTAACTCTTACTGTCTCATATATTCGAATATCTCAAGTGAAAACATTTGAAAGGATGCACACAGTACTTACACACAGCCTTAGCCATATCGTTAGCCCCCATCAGAGAACAAAAAACGGAGACTCATTTCATCCATCTCCCTTAACCACCATCTTAACCTTGAGGAATCTCACAGTCTCGCTAACCAGAGACGGGGACACAGAGTGTCTCAAATTGCTCTGGGACAGAACAGGCTCTGCTTCCAAGGGAACAACAAATTTGGATGATAAACTAGTATAACACTCCTCCCTCCTCTTTCTGATACCTGCAGATCTCTGGAGAAACACTCCACTGAAATCATTCACTACATTCTTTCTGGCTGTACATGTCCATTCTCTTGCCAGGAGTGGAATCTGTGGTCTGGGGTTTAGCAACACACACTGCCACCCAGGGACAAGGCAATTAGTGTCTTTCCAATACATTTCACATGCTTGGCTGGTCCAGGGTTATTCTCCCTTTACTGAAATGTTGGGGAAGAGAAAAGGAAGCATCCCAGTTAAAGGTACTTCAGAGGGAGATCAACTCAGGACAATGAATAAAAAGGACTTGGCCAGACACCAGGCCTTTCTGCTTTCTTATGAGCTCAGCTCTCAAAGACAAAGAGTATGGCATTTTTCTTTTTAAACTTCTACCACAGTAATCCACGCTCCACTACTGAAATCTGGAAAGATCAGTCTGTGATGTTTCTGACATTTTTCATGTCTATCAACCTTCAGAATCAGCCACAATGGGACTTCCCTGGTGGCGCAGTGGTTAAGAATCTGTCTGCCAATGCAGGGGACACGGGTTGGAGCCCTGGTCTGGGAAGATCGCACATGCCATGGAGCAACTAAGCCCGTGCGCCACAACTACTGAGCCCGCACTGTAGAGCCCACGAGCCACAACTACTGAGCCCGCGAGCCACAACTACTGAAGCCCCCACGCCTAGAGCCCGTGCTCTGCAACGAGAAGCCACTGCAGTGAGAAGTCCGCACACCGCAACTAGAGAAAGCCCTCTAGGTGGTCACAAAGCACCGAGCTGATCTCCCTGTGCTATGCGGCTTCTTCCCACTAGCTAGCTATTTTACATTTGGTAGTGTATATGTAAGTCCATGCCACTCTCTCACATTGTCCCAGCTTACCCTCTCCGCTCCCCATGTCTTTTTTTTTTTTTTTTTTGCGGTACGTGGGCCTCTCACTGTTGTGGCCTCTCCCGCTGCAGAGCACAGGCTCCGGATGCGCAGGCCCAGTGGCCATGGCTCACAGGCCCAGCCGCTCCATGGCACGTGGGATCCTCCCGGACCGGGGCACGAACCCACGTCCCCTGCATCGGCAGGCAGACTCCCAACCACTGCACCGCCAGGGAAGCCCCCCTCCCCGTGTCTTTAAGTCCATTCTCTATGTCCATCTGCGTCTTTATCCCTGTCCTGCCCGTAGGTTCTTCAGAACCTTTTTTTTTTTTTTAGATTCCATATATGTGTTAGCATATGCTATTTGTTTTTCTCTTTCTGACTTACTTCACTCTGTATGACTGATCCTAGGTCCATCCACCTCACTACAAATAACTCAATTTCGTTTCTTTTTATGGCTGACTAGTATTCCATCGTATATATGTGCCACATCTTCTTTATCCATTCATCTGTCGATGGACACTATGCTTAAAGGCAAAACCCAACAGGGAAAAACACAGCACGCTCTCAGCTGACTTGAGGACCTGAGCGGTCCCCCTTGGGCACCTCCTGTTTTCCTGTTACCGCTCTCCAGACAGACACAAATGCTCTGGGTATTCCATCAAGAGGTCTGGTTTTGATCAGGAAAGTGACAAAGAGGTAAACAAAGAGAAGCACCAGTGACATTCCAGGTCCAAAGGTGGCTTCTTGTGCAGCTAAAGAAGAGGTGACTCATATCTGGTACCAGCCTTAACTAGTGCCACACTACATAACTGCAGTTTTCAGGAAGGTGATGGGGCCAAAACACACAATTCAGTTTTGTTAACTGAATATTCATCCAGGCTTTTGGCTACTTTTAATTGCACCATGAACTCCAATCAGAAGCTGACAAACATCTTGCTAACTTATTTAAAAACATATAATTCCATTTAAAATGTCTTTAAGTAAGACCAGTATTTTCTGTTGACAGAGTTCCGTGGATTGCAAAAGATCTCAAGGCACAGCCACTGTTTAAATGGAAAAATAATCTGCTGAAATTAATTCTGCACCTAAATATGAGTCTAATCTGGTAGACTGGTCACAAAAAGTTTGCTAAGCTTTCATTATACCTATACAAAAACTGCCTTACAATAATGATGAAATAGCCAGTAACAGTAAATAACAACATCACTGCAATTAGGAATATTTTATATTCTTAATTGAAAAGCTTTTCAAGAGTGATTTCTTTTAGGCCATAAGGTGAAATTAAAAGTTAAGAGTAGTTAATAAAATTCAATTTATCTTTTTGAGATCAATTAGCTCATCAGTTGCATCTTGGTGGAGCTCAGTAAACAATTCCAACTTTAATATGTAGCGAGCATCAATAAATAAGGCCATGCAAAATGTGGCTGGCCGAATTCCAAGTATTATAGGCCAAAGTGTGACACTGTTTTAGTACCTTACCACTTGCTCTCACCTCCCCAAGAGCCCTAATCCTATCACACTCTCTGCTCCTGCCTCCCGGACACACCTTTTAGTGTTACTTCTCTCCCG